ACCGTTACCGGTCCGGAGCCCCGAGACTGGGAACTTTCTTTTTGCCACTGCTCTTCCAGCAGCGTTGTCCTGGGGTGTGAGTTAAGGGAACTGCAGCTGGATTTAGAAATTGAAGAGCGTGTTAAAGCTACACAAAATCTGCAGCAATAAACGTATTCCTGTAAGTTCTTACAGTGTGTCTCCTTCCTAGGAAAAATGATTTCGGAAGGCAGCTCCTTTGTGAAGGGGCTGGTGCTGGGTGGAGCCTTCTGCATGTTGGTTACACTCCTCGGGCACATTAAGGTGGGCCACGGGACTAAAGCACATCACCACGAGCATCATCACATCCAGGCTCCCAACAAAGAGGATGTCCTAAACCTCTCGGAAGGTGAACGCATGGAGCTCAGTAAGAGTATCCGCGTTTATTGTATCATCCTTGTGAAGCCGAAAGATCTGGGGCACTGGGCTGCAGTGAAAGAGACGTGGAGCAAGCACTGCGACAAGGTGGAATTCTACAGCTCTGAAAACATCAAAGTGTTTGATTCTGTAGCCCTCAACACAAACGATATGTGGGTGATGATGAGGAAAGCTTACAAGATAACGTACGAACGCTATAAAGATGAATTCAGCTGGTTCTTCCTGGCGTATCCAACAACGTTTGCTATTATTGAAAATCTCAAGTATTTCTTACTGAAAAAAGACGCCTCGCAGCCTTTCTATATAGGCCATACCGTGAAATCTGGGGACCTCGAGTACGTGGATGCTGAGGGGGGAATCGTCTTAAGCATTGAGTCGCTAAGACGACTGTCCCATGTTCTCGAAGACTCCGACAAGTGTCCAGAGCAGGGAGGTATGATTTGGAAACTTGCTGAGGATAAACAGCTAGCGATCTGCCTCAAGTATACTGGGGTGTTTGCTGAAAACGCAGAAGACTCCGAAGGAAGAGATGTCTTTAACACGAAGTCGGTAGGTGCGCTCATTAAGGAAGCAATGTCTACTCACCCTCAGCAGGTGGTGGACGGCTGCTGCTCCGACATGGCCATCACGTTCAGTGGGCTGGCCCCCAACCACATGCATGTGATGATGTACGGCGTTTACAGGCTGAGGCCCTACGGCCACACGTACAACGATGCACTGGTCTTCCTCCCGCCTGCAGGCTCAGACAATGACTGATGTCTCTTCGGAGAAGACCTGGAACCATGGAGTCAGCTCCTCACGTGACACGTGTTTGTACTGACAGATTTGATTTTGTACCTGGTGGTACTGGTGTACAGGTTTTTTTTTGCACATTGAGGTTTGGTAAAGCTCTTAATTTTAAAAGTGGAAGGAGAACTTTTTTCTACATCTTTTATACAGAAATGCTTCTGGCTTTTGACAGTGCTGGAATGAAATGATAAAGAAGTTGTTAATGTTTATGATAAAAGGAAATTAAGTTTATATGGGGGGGTTTGTACATGTAAATATTTATTAATGAAAACTCAAATGAGCTTTAGTCTACTGTTACAAATATATTTTTGCAAGATTTTGATTCTTTGAATTCTTCCAGGCATTTCTAGAATGTCTTTATATCTTTCTAAGATGCACCAATAAAACTGACTACAGATTCAGTCTCAAAGACTAACTTTAAGCCATTTCCTTTACACTGAACTACCCAACAGCTTAAGCTACGCTGTTTGTGCAGCACCTGTCACTTTATGTACAGCCTCCTAACCTGGGAAGAAATTAGCAGGAAGCAAGCCGACAAAAAGAGATCTGTTAAGAAGCTGCAGCTGAGTAATAGTAAGCGACCTTTGGACTGCTGCTTTTAAGCAGACAAAAGAGAGAGATAACTGTGTTTGAGTAAGTGTTAACATGGTCAGGTAGCCTGTTAGCATAAGAGCAATTGCTTATTTAAAATTTCACTTCGTACATAAGTATATTAAAGGTCCTGTGTAGTTTCCACTTCTGTTAGTGTTGCTGACAGTATTTACAAGGAAGTTGGGTATCTGTCCATACAAATGGGGTGTAGATAGATTTACAGGTATTTTAAACACGGATGGGGAAAGCACCACACCTGCACTCCCAACCTGTTGTTGAATATTATGCAAAACAGGTTACGTGCACAACAAAGCAATATGCAGAACTCCCCAGTGCTGGTAGGGGGAGTGTTGTGTGGTGGGGTTTGGCTTTGGTAGGGGATTTTTTGTTTGGGTTTTCTGGTAGACTTGGTTGTTTGGTGGGTTTTTTTGGTTTTACAGTTGAGTGCACTTGAAATCAGTTTTACACAAGCTACCAGGTCACACTCCCTTGCAGTCACAGCAGGTGGGAACAAACACCACTTCAATATTTACTCCATTTAGAATTCACTAACCTGACGTGGATGTTTCAAGACTTGAGGAAGGTACTGCATCTAGGACAATCACAGGCTCTGTTGCTATCCATAAAAGACCTGAGAAGATACCATGGTATCTCAGCTTTCTTTAACCGACCATTTGTAATACCTCATCCTGTCCTCAGCTGCAAGGGGGCAGGTGGGGAAAGTGAAACAGCTGCTTCAGAGCTGATGAGAACATCCACATCTTTTTTTTTAAGCATCAGGTCCTTCATTTTTCACAGGAATGGTAAGACAACTGCTCAGACCCCGAAGCAAGCTCCCACAGTTCAGATGCTGCAGAAGGTGCATGTTTTGCAGGTTCTCATCCATGCCAGTCAGAGCTCAGCTGACAGCACAAGAAACAAGTGTACATGATTGCTGCCAAAACCTAGATAAGGTAGTATTTTTGACAATGTTTTGCTAAATTGGTATACAAATTAGCTTAAGCATGATTTAACTTGCATCTTCTTACAGAATCATTTTTAAAAGGTGAGATCCACAGTTGGGAATACTCTGACAAAGCCAGACAAAGGAAGTAAAATTTCAATTTCAGTGGTGTTTCTGATACTAAAGACAGTTCTGACCCCACTGCAACAATAGCAGTCACAGGGCAAGTCAAGGAAAAAGGAGTTAACAATTCAAACCAGAGTAACTCTCCGATCTGTGACAAGAGGTACTGTATTACAACAGAAAGAAACAAGATGGAAGAGGAAAAAGCAAGCCACAGAACTCAACACTGGCTCTTTTCATGCAAAAAAGAACCACTGAAGCACAAGCCAATTCTCCATTGCACTAACAAGAAATTAATACATTTGTAGCAGTCTTTAAGATGCATAAAAATGTCCGTTAGCATTCTGAAGGGAAGGCTGAGGTTTGACCAAGCTTTTTTCTGCTACACTGCAGTAATAATAATTTTTTGCCTTCCTACTTTAATACAGTTTCAGATTTACCCTGTCATTTTCATAAGTACAGTCTCCTAAATAACTTTACAGGAGAAATATAAAATTAGCACTTATTAGGTATCACATTCCATCTCCCATATATTAATTTGTTAAGACTTCAGAGTCGGATGGAGAACACCTCTGCCACCGTCTTCTGTAAAGGCACCAGGGTGGGGAAACCAAAGATGCAGAACAGCACTGAGACAAGGCATTTGCGTAACAAAATTAAGTTCTGCCATTACAAAATACAAGTGTTAGAACAGAAACTTGAAACATTAATAAATGCTTCCAGAGACAGAGTTATGAGTAGTAGACCTTAAAGTTTCCTTAGTTTATTAAATGAATCCATGGCACAGGCTGTTTTCCATAGGCATAGCTTTGGGTATGCAGTCGCTGAACAGAGTTGGATTATCCAGACACACACAGTGCTCTTGAACCCGTTCTACGGATGTACATTATGTGGCAGTGTGCACAAGCTGAGATCTCTTTTGAAGTTCCACCTGAAGCAGCTGCTCCTGGCTACACCGACAGCCACGTTTTGCTATCATGCCTTTGTTAAACAGTGATTTTGTTTCTGCTCCTAAAATAAGGCGGCAAACAGGGAGTAGAGCATCAGGCACCAAGTTGGCACACTCTCCATTTGGAGTATGCCCACCGTTACTACAAACTCCACTATAAGGAGAGCAGTATTAAACAGTGTCGGCAGGTAGAAATTTGGACAAGTGTGTATATATATATATATATTCTTCAGATATGAACTAGCATAAAAGAATTTCTAGTCCACATACCAGTCTTAAGTTCATAAATCCTATACAGATAAATGCATATTAAAAAGAGAAAATCTTTAAGTAAAATACTGAAGTTAATGTTGTTAATAAATTAAGTTAAAAAATAAATGTCAAAAAAAAACGGATTTCTCCACATTCAAGAAACAGGTAGACTAACGAGATGTTAATCAGAAGAAAAAAATCTGAAATGTTTCAGAGGTTTTACAAACCATATTAATTATATTTCACGTATGCTTTATATTACTCTTTTAGAAGAGCATAAAAATTGTAAACATTTCTTGGCTTTTTCCTCCTTTTTGTTTGAAATAGTCTACTCACAGTCCACGCAGGATCTTTCCATCAGATATCTTCAGTCACTGAAGACTTGGGTTTAAGAAAAAACAAAAGAACTGTAATAAAAAGAAATCTAGAAAACTATTGTAGCCTAACAGTACTTTCGCATTCACTTGATTTATTTAGCATAGCCACAGAACAAAGTAATTTGTACATTCAGTCACATTAAAAACAAGGAATTACAAAGCAGTCCACATTTAATCTAAGTGCATTCCTTTGGAGTAACACAGTTCCTTTTGTTTCACTTGTATGTCTTCATATGCCAAAGGCCATCATTTAAATAGTGGATATTTTCGATACCAATCCCTTTGTTGACCTTCTCACTGTAAAAGGAGGAAAAAGGTACAGAAGAATTAGCTTGGTTAAATATTAGAGCAGTATAAAACACAATATTTAAAGTAGAAAATGGAACATTTATCAACTGGAAGGGTAGAAGCTATCAGAAGTCATAATCTTCAACAGCAGGTGGACAAGAAACAACACCTGTTATCCCATGTACCCACAGGATAAGGTCACGGTATTTGCCTTCCACATTTTAGCAACAACATTCCACAATATTTTTAACTACTTCTTTGTGGGAGGCAGCTCTTCAGACACCACTTTTGCCACTTTTCCTCCCGTTTCTCTATCAAAGTAGCACAGCAGTTGTTAAGTTCCTCCCCTCCTAGCACAGGAGGTCATGCAACATGGCTGGAGTGTGGAATTTGAAGAGTTCTGGTTCCAAGTGTGCCACTGCCATAATTAAATGCAGGTGAGCTGCTCCGCTGCTAGTTGTGAGACATCTACCCACTAACAGAGAATTATAAATGCTAAATTTATGTGCCAAGGACTTGCAGCATGTTACAGACATAACATTCTGTATCTTCTATATCTTTTCAATCATACCATCTTATAAAAACTTTTTTTTGTGCATCTACATTAGATTTGTGTTCATCTTTTTTCCAGTACATTATTCGTTTGAAAAAAATCTGGTTTTGTCACAATAAGCAAGACAGATCTCATCATTCTAGGACTGAGAACAAGTTTAATTCCTCTGGAGAACATAATTTACTGTATTTACACTAAGTGTTCCATTACTTGTACAACTTGTCCAAAGGTAAGCAGGAAGGGAAATACTCCCGTTAACTGCATTAACGCATCATGTACCGTAATCACACCAAGTGGCTGAAATCATGCTGTTTCACAATTTTCTGATTTAAACAACATCACACAAAAAAGCATGCTAACGGGCCACAGGGATCAGTGTAATTTTGTCTTCCTCTCCTGTTCGTGTTGCTTCTCACAGGAACAGGATATTCAGCTGCAAAACTACTGGATTTGAAGTTCAGATTAGGAATACAGATCATCTTGCTTTGCAGTGATCATAACAGATCACTGCAGGTGTAGGACTGGGACAAAAGTAACTGTACTTTCCACCCACTCTTCAGAGTTTTTTGAAGGCACTACAAAGAATCCTGAGGAATATAATCCTTCAACAGCTGCAGCAGGTCCAAATCCAGGTTGCTGCAGTCCAGCTCTATCCCTGTCCTCTGTAACACATTCCCACCTCTCTCCTGTTATGACTTAGCACCGCAGGGTGACCCAGTACAGGTGATCCTGCTGAGAATTATCCCCACAAGAGTGGCTTATTTTATCAAAATCAGCTTCCTCACCCACACAAGCACTAGACAGGACTGGAAGCAACACAGCCCAAGCCTGCTGGGTGCCTCTTACATCCTGCTGCAAGATGTTATAGAACTTAAAATGAGAAAGTGGTTTAGCTCTTTAGAATTTAGCACCATCTGAATGCTAAGAACAACAAACATCCATTTCCACTTTGTCTCTTTTCCTTCTCAGATTGTTTTCAGTTGATGTTTGTCCCCTGAACGGATCTCTACATTTCACAAGAAGCTTAGCTAAACTAGTTAGCAC